CTCTCATTCTCTCTCTCCCAAATAAATAAATAAATAAATAAATAAATAAATAAATAAAATCTTTTAAAAAATAGGAGAAGATCTGAAAATAAATACAGTGCTTTCTCTTATGCATATCAACAAGATCACACGAAAAATTAAACCATTCCTCAAAGTAGGACAACCTATGGGTTTCAAGATTTCTTGTTAATTGATGTCCATTCACTTCTTTGGGAAGTTTTGTGGAAAGTAATAGATCCTCTTTGCTCTATTCCAATCCTGCCAGTGGTGGAGGTTTCAGACTGTATTTTGATTTTTCAGAATGACTGTATTTCTGACCAGGCCCGGAAGCTCCAGAATAACAGGGCAGTCTTCTAAGAAAGGTACTTGTAAGCTCTTTGGAGAATTATTGATCCTTCTCTCTTGGATCAAGAGCTCAAATGAGCTCATTTGAGCTCTTGATCTGTATGTAGTTAGTCTAAAACACAAATCCCTCCTTAGAAAGTTCATGTAAGAAGAACAATATTTGTAACAGAATCTTCTCATGTTTTTTACTTACTATAATAGCATACTCTTGAAGTTGGAAGAAAGTAGAGGTCATCCACGCAGGAGTCTCCTCTAAAATTCCCTAAGAAGTAAATCACTTGCTAAATACCATCTGAGGTGAGAAGTTCTACCTTCATGAGATTTCTTCCTTATTCTAAAGTAAAGCCTGCCTTCATGATTCCACTCATAGGTTCCAGCTTGACCTCTTAGAGTATTAGAAATTTCTATTCTCTCTGCCACATAAGAGTCAATTGACATTTGAAGACAGTTATGTACACATAAGCTCCTTATGTCTTGCTGCTTGCAGAGAAAAGAACATGGGATTTGGGGTCCTAGATTCAAAACCTGGCTCTGACATTTACCACTTACAAGGACCTAGATATGACATTAAATGTCTCTAAGCCTCAACTTCCTTAACGGAAAGGAGAAGAAAGAACCCCCATCCCATTTGTGGTTAAGTGGGTTAAATAAACTAATGTGTGCAGAGTGCCCTTTATTGGAAGTACTTAATTGTGGCTAGTATAATTATTAATATTGTGGCCTCAAGTCCTCTCTTTCATCCGTTTTTCTCCTGACACAAGCAGAGCTTCACAAACAGTGTATCACAAGTGTACCAAAATATTATCATTTTCTGTGGGTGCCATGGCCTTGGGGTGTAGAAGCACCCTATTTGTTTTTATGTTTTCTCCTGGGTACCGGAGCGATCTTTAACATTAAAAAATGTCTCTCTCCCTTGTCATGTAAATATTCTTGCATTATCACATTTGAACAGCAACTTTTGCTAGAAATAAAAGATTCTCTAAGAAAATAGGTTAGTGCTTTTTTTTTTTTTAAAGATTTATTTATTTATTTGACAGAGAGAGAGGAAACACAAGCAGGGGGAGTGGGAGAGGGAGAAGCAGGCCTCCCGCGGAGCAGGGAGCGTGATGTGGGGCTTGATCCCAGGACTCCGGGATCATCACCTGAGCCGAAGGCAGACTCTTAACAACTGAGCCACCCAGGTGCCCCGAAAATAGGTTAGTTCTTGACAGTGTATTAGTCCCTCAGCCTTAAGTGTGGCCCAGCAAGTCTCCCCGCCCCCACCCCCACATGTATCCTACAAATGTTATCATTTTCTGGCCTCAGCGTGCTGTAAAAAAGTTAGGGCAACACTGCAGTTGAGTTTATTAATGCTGTCTTGGTGTGTGGTACTTGAATTTAACTCAGTGTTATAGTTCAGAAGGTTAAGAAGAGTAGGATGAATTATCTCTTCATTTGTCCTAGACATGATACAGTTTCCTCTGCTATCCGAAAGTAGAGTATACCCCTGAAATCTTTCTGAAATGATGCAAAGTGGAGAAGCAATTACCATTAATGTATATGGAACTTTTTTTGAGTTCCCAGATCCAAAAAATAATCTTTCTTAAGGTTTTCTGATTCCTTAGGACACACGTTGCTAACGGATGCCCAAAATAAATCGAGATAAAACCCAGATGCTCACAGACACAGTTCAAAGCTATTGTGGATCTGATCCCAGGGAAGGAGCTTGGCGGGGCCAGAGGCCACTCTTCCTGCTCGGGGTGCTCGCTGCCTCTCTAACAGCTAGCAGCAAAACAAATGCCCAACACTGTTTTCGCTTCCCGCCTTTTTTGTAAAAGCCAAATCCTCTTCAGATTTTGTTCAGTTAGTGAAAACAGGTCCGGTACTATTAATGTAGGTATTTCATAATGTAGGTATCTCATTTAAAAAAAAGTGTAGGTATTTCATGAACTTTTAGAAAACAAGGATACCTGTACTTCTTTGCTTGAAGTTTAAAATGACATTTGGGTTTTGGGAGAGCCACTTCCAACTGTTACCTAACATTGACCTTGCAGGTCATGAAAACTGCTTGCAAAAATATAGATTCATTCATTCATTCAAAAAATACTTATCTTAAGTCTATCGTGTGCACTATTCTAGATACTGGGGACAGAGCTTTGAACAAGATAACAAGGTTCCTTCCCTCATAAAATTAACATAATAAAAAACTTTAAAGTCAATGGTATCTACAATATGATTTGAGTTTTAAAAATAAATAAGTGCTTTTGGCTTTCAGCTCGGAGGAAGCGAAGGTGCAACTGTCTTCAGTCATCTGGGTTCATCGAATCTGGGTTTATCCAACACCCTCCGCCTCCGCCATGCTGCCTGAGTTCAACCCCAACAAGATCAAAGTCATATACCCGAGGTGTACCGGTGGGGAAGTTGGTGCCATGTCTGCCTTGGCCCCAAAGATGGGCGGACTGGGTCTGTCCCCAAAAAAGTTTGATGATGACATTGCCAAGGTAACCAGTGATGGGAAGAGTCTGAGGATGACAGTGAAACTGACCATTCAGAACAGACAGGCTCAGATTGAAGTGGTACCTTTTGCCTCTGCCCTGATTATCAAAGCCTTCAAGGAACCACCAAGAGACAGAAAGAAGCAGAAAAACATTAAGCACAGTGGAAATATCACTTTTGATGAGATTGTCAACATTGCCTGACAGATGTGGCACTGATCTTTATCCAGAGAACCCTCTTGAATCATAAAAGAGATCCTGGGGGGTGCCTGGGTGGCTCAGTCGGTTAAGCATCTGCCTTTGGCTAGGATCATGATCTCAGGGTCCTGGGATCAAGCTCCAAGTCGGGCTCCCTGCTCAGTGGAGAGTCGGCTTCTCCCTCTCCCTCTGCCCTTCCCCCTCCACTCATGCTCCCTCGCTCTCTCTCACTCTCTCAAATAAATAAATAAAATCTTTTTTAAAAAAAGAGGGCACCTGGGTGGCTTAGCTGGTTAAGTATCGGCCTTCAGCTCAAGTCATGATTTCCGGGTCCTGGGATTGAGCCCCGAGTTAGCTCCTGCTGAGCTTAGCTCCACAGAGCATGGAGCCTGCTTCTGCCTCCGCCCCTCCCCTCCCCGCTCATGCTCTCTCTCTCTCTCTCTCTCAAATAAATAAATACAATCTTAAAAAAAAAAAAAAGAAGAGAGATCCTGGGCGCTGCCCAGTGTGTGGGCTGCGACGTTGATGGCCACCACCCTCATTGACATCATAGATGAGACATCAACAGTGGTACAGTAAAAAAAGTGAAATGCCTAATAAGAGAATATATTCAAGATTTATCATGACCCCTGACAGATAATACAAGCACTTCCTAACATAATGCACTATTATAAATTGTACCAATTGATCATATTAGCATAAATGTCAAAGTAAGATTCTGAGTACCTGAAAGTAATATTACTTTGGGAGGGAAGAAAATAATCAGTAAATAGTACTCCTGTGATCATCATGATGGTGGTTTGCAGATTCCCGGCTGTCTCTCTTTCACAACACATGGTAGGGTTGTATTTCCCTGTGTGCTCGGAATTAGGTGTGGCAAGTAATTTCTCTGGCTAGAGAAAGTGAAAGAGGCAGTGTCTCCTTCACCACATCCATTTTTCCCTCTGGTCTGTGACTGACAATATTTAAGATGGCAGGTGCTCAGCCAGCCAGGGGACCCTGAGAGATTATCAAAGACAGAGTCCTACTTCCAACCTGCAGTAGAAATAGAGCAGAAGCAAGAAATACGTAAACTTTATGCTTTAAGCCACAAAGATTTTGGAGTCTGTCACCGTGTCACAACCTAACCAATCTTGATACAATACCATATACAAAAGTATACAAGAACATCATTATCAAGAGTGAAATAAAGACGGTTTTGGCCTTTATTCTGTTTGAAGAACCACTAGTAGTGGTTAGGAGAAAGATATTCCAAATTGTGCCAATTTGTTGGAAGATGACGAAGAGGTGGCTGCTGGAGTAGGGAGCCAGATGGTGCATATTATGAGACACAATAGAAGGAAAAAAATTAGCCATGTCAGGCAGGCTATTGCGTGTTCTTTTGCATTTATTTATGCTAAATGAATAGGAAAAAAATATTAACAGTTTATCTTTTAAAGGAATTGATTCCCATTCCTTTTGGGCTCTGACATTTATCCTCCTGACTAGAAATGAGCCAGGGTAGCAATTTGGGAGTCTATTTATTTATTTATGGTTGCCAAGTGATCCTTTATTGAAATACTTTCCTTCGTAGTTCTTAACTAGCTGGGCATTCCACTGCACCACTGTTGATGTCTCATCCATGATGTCATGAGGGTGGCGCCCATCAACGTCGCAGCCCACACACTGGGCAGCCCTCAGGATCTCTCTCTCTTCTTTTTTTTTTTTTAAGATTTTATTTATATTTTTTGAGAGAGAGAGAGAGAGCATGAGTAGGGAGGGGAGGGGCAGAGGGAGAAGCAGACTCCATGCTGAGCACGGAGCCTGGAATCTGCAAACCACCATCATGATGATCACAGGAGTACTATTTACTGATTATTTTCTTCCCTCCCAAAGTAATATTACTTTCAGGTACTCAGAATC